TTCTAGGTCTAATGTTTTACATGGATCGCCAGGATTTGTCCATTTTCAGATAAAAGTGTACGAAGATCAATGTTAGTTGGTAAATTGTAGGATTATCACCCTAGGTAAAGTTTAAGATGACAGCTGGTTGATTACAGAAACACACCTGATATAATCCCTGAATCATTTATCTTTTGAGGAAATTAAAGCGTTGATAGAAACTTAGGTTTATTATCATTACATTTCATGACCTAACAATTATATTTTAATGAAAATTGATTGAGATTATTCTTTTTTTTTTTGAAGACTGTTGCCAGAAATGTGTAACCAGATAAACACATATTTTAAATGATAGAAAAACAAATGTAATATGAATGCTATAAGACTTTAGTGCTGAATTATGTCTGCTTGTCTGACATATATGATTTCCCTGCTTTATCAAATCATGTAAACATATAACATATACAATTATTAAGAGTTTGTTATTTTCGATTCTATATATATAAATGAATGTCAAGTATCTATTTATAATGCTACCTTCTGTATATTGATCAGATAAAAACAGGAAATGTCTACTCTTGATAAGGCAAATACGAGTGGAATTATATTTTGAAATAAGTAAATTTTATTGATATATTTTCCTTGTTGAAATTTTGTGAGTCTGAAGTATTCATTTACAGACGCATCTGTAATGACGGATGTATAAAACGTTCTATTTAAAACTCAATTTTTTGAATTAAGCTTATTTTCTAAATTTTGAGAAATGGGTAGCGTTTTAATCTTATATATGTCAGAAAAAAATGGATCAAACCTGTTTTATCTACAGTTACTTGTTTATAAATGTAGGAAAGTAAACAACATCATCTCTTTCATTCAAGCTATTTCATTCAAGCTAGTAAAGATGTTATATTTCCGATCTAGCAAGATATGTTGGTTGTGCTTGTGATAGTTTAGCTTATTGTATATTTTCTTTCTTGTTGGATAGTTGCAGTATTCCTACATTTTCTAAATACCCTTATGATATGTTGCCTGCTTCATGAATCTGTCTTTTGACTTCTGTCTGTAATACGCAGGTTTCTAAGACACAAATTTTAAATACCGATACGCCTGAGCTACGGTATGGACGATAGCTTGCTCCATGAACAGACTCAATCGGACAGAGCCTGTACCATTTTCATTTGTCAGTATGTTTGTTGATTGTTTACATTATTAAATGTGTACAACGCGACATACAATTAATAGCATATTTGTAATTTGGGACTGTTGGAGGCTCCAACTCAAGACCATTGTGTGGGTTTGTGTATCTTATAACATTATTTTGTATGTAATCATCATTTGATAATATCTAAACTTATTAATAATATGGATGTTTTTAAAATGGTGTATGTGTTATATTCTAAAATGTTCCCACAAAGTCTTAATAAAATGGAAAATATGTACAGAGGCTTGCCTCCGTGTAGCTACGGCGCTATAGGCGCTAAATATAATTGCATTGCCTTCGTCAGGTTTAATCAATGAACTACGTCATATACATAAGGTTAGTGTTAATGATAAATCTACATATGTGGTTTTGTGGATTGATAATACAGCAGCTATATAATGGGTTTATTTCTCAGGATAAGAATATTTTCATTATCATCAGATGACTTACACATCATTTAATTTAAAACTAAATCTTAAAACTAAATCTTAATTTCTGTAGTCAGTGATATATTCATAAAGACAATGAACTTTCACACATATTGCATGTAAACAACAAAGCACACTTTTTCATTCCTATATCGAATTTTATTTATATATACATCTTAAGAGTATAGTATCATATCCATAACAGATATGCATATCATATAGCAATTTAACTTATTATAAATATTTTTCTTTACTGATTGTCCTTGGTTCTTTATATGATATTCATAAAATATATTCATGAAGATTAGTCACTATTGCGCTATAGATCAAAAGTTTGACTGAAAATAAATATGTCTTTAATGTTAACAGATTTACTTATATAAACACATTCAGACAATCACAATATTTGACATTAAAGACATATAAGAACCAATCAAATTTGGGAGCACGGCTTTCAATCAATTCTAGACAATTACAGTGTATAAGAATATATTTGACAACGAGCCTGTACTAAAACTACATGCAATTGTAACTAATATTCATTCGAAATGTTCTTAATTCTTAGGTTTTGTTTATTAGCATTCAGTGCCTAGCTTAGTAAAATAAACGTTCTGGAACTCAAACCTTACTTTATTTGGACAGTACAAAAAACTATAATGTAATCGATACTCACTTAATTTGTTTTTCCGGGCCTATTTTATATAAAATAGAACAGTTTTATCAAACGAAAGTATGGAGCACTGAAATGCGTAAGTTATCAATCAGTTATCATTCACTGCCAATAATAAGGCCACTTAATTCCTATAATAGACTGTCTTGTAATTGATTTCTTTTCAAAATGTAAGCAGTTGCTAATGTTTGCAATGTAAGGCCTAATGCATTGTACAGAACATACTTTTGTCATTTGAAACAGTATTTCTCTCAAGTATGACGTGTTCAACTTGATATCAAGATTTGGCAGATACTACTTATTGCTTTTACTACAACTAGTTTACTTGATAGTAGATGCAAACGATATTTGCAATGTTTTAACCATATATCTAAATTCCATGTGCAGTTATACGTATCAAAATAAAAACAGTTCAAACAAATATACTGGAAGTCAAATTGTATATATGGACAAGATGTGGATTGGTACTGAAAAATACCGTATATGAGCACAAACATGTGATAAGCCTGAATTCTTACAGGATAAAATGGATCTGCCGGCTGTAAAAATATGTTTCGGACGTATTGTTATCTATTTATGTATGATTTCTATTACAGGTGTGTCAAAGATAATGTTGAAATAGATTTCATCAGGAAATTTATCAACGAATTGCGTCATATACCTAACCAAGAGATGGTGTTGATGCGGTTTCCAGATTGATTTATATCATAGTATTATCTCTCTATCATTTGATTAGAATATATTTTATTATCCATTTTTATTTGTTAACTTTTAATGAGTTTGAAATTTGTTGAAATTTCCCTCCTTTGATACTTCTCAGAACCTGCATAATCTTTCGAACGATTTTGTTTTTTCATTTGTCAAACATTTTTCTATGGTCTTTTTATAGGAATACGAAATTGATCAATATTTCTTGACACCGCGATTCTAAGATTTTATTTCATAGTTTTGTGAATATTAATTATACGTTTTATTTATAATATGGTTTAAAATATGTGGTTTTAGATGGAACACAAGGTTATCTTTTCAAATCATATGGATTCAAGTGTAATATAGACAGATGTCTGATAACAAAAACACACCTGATATATGTGTTTTAATCTTATATCAGTTTTAAGGACATTACATATTAAACCTCCGAATAGTAAAAATAAGTATTACTGACGTAAAATATAATTACATTCCGTGACCTAAAATACTCTTTAAAATGCAAGTTAACTTGTTGAAAAAGATTGTTTTAAAGATAAACACATATTTTGACTGGGGATCATCAGCATTTATATGCCAAATTTGTGTATTTCCGTTTATCGGTTAAAATGTTAGATGTAATAGGTGAAGGACTTGACTCTAACTTAAAGCAAATAGTTGATAATTGTAGACTCGGCTTTAGCAAGCTGTGCATAATGCACCTGTCAATATTTTGCCCTACCGGGGGGCGGCGGGCATACACGGGGCTTTAGACAGAAGACCATTCCTGACAGGCGGGAATTTGACAAACTTATGGAATCCGGGTCCCGGGTAATAGACTTTGGCCGGTTTTTAAATCCCGGGACTCGGGAATTTCGACGCCACAAAATAAAAAAAGGGGAGTAACTGCGAAAGGTCTAAAGACGACGGCGATATTTTTATTCGTGTTTTTGAAGTTGCAGACATGAAACTTTTCGAATATTTCTACGGTAGAGAAAATTGTGGGATAAGGCGAGAAGGTTGCCCAAGAATTGGGATTTATTTGCAAAGGTATACAGGGATTGTATTCTTCATTTGTTTCCACCTATACCCAGACACTATGTGGAGCCTAGCGGTATTCATGTTTGTCATCTGTTTTCGCGAGTAGACCCATTTATTTTGCGAGTCTGAAAGGCGTTGGAAATCACATGAAACTGACACATATTTCGTATTAATAATACTAAATCCACAAAAGAACGTTCACTTTGCCTGTAGAATATAAACGATTACAGCAGAAAATGTCGTATCGATTGAGATAATCCCTTTAACTGCAGTATGAATAAACTGATCAAGTGACACAAAACGGATGTTGAATACATACACACAGAATTATGTTATTAATTATTCATTTTTTAATTATTTTAACACCTATGCGACCAGTGTAGATCCAGATCAGCCTGCACATCCATGCAAGGGAGTCCAAATCCAAAGGCTGAAGTCAAGGGACTCCAAGTGTACTGACTTAGTCAGTAGTTCCCTTGAGCCTTGTTAGAATCAGAGACATAGAGATAAGCAGCTCTTATATACTCCATTGAAATATCACTCATGCCTATCAAAAAGTGAAAAATTAGGCATTTTGTAGCAAATAAAACTTAATGGATGTAAATTTGATCCTTAAATATTATATACCCTTTCTTTGAAAGGTAAATCTTTCATCTATGGCTGCATGTTAAAATATTGGTAACTTTCCATGCCTTTCCCTTAGAAAAACATGGCAGAACATACCCACTGAGCCAGTTTTTTTGTCATATGAATAGTTTTGTAACAAAAAATATCTCTTTAAAAAATGATGTAACATTTATTTAAATGGGAACTGTAAATATTTTTACCTGCAGCCATAGACAAATGCATAAGTTTTCAGAAAATGTATTATTTTACTGATTTTGATATCTGGTTAATAAGTTTTACTTGCTACAAGTTTTAAGTTTAGCAGGCACGCGTGAAATTTTAACTGGCTAGGAAGAAGCCATTCTCTGTTATCTATGTCTCAGTTAGAATATGATTTTTAATAAAGTAAGAAAATGCATTTAAATACAATGTATGTCAAAACAGATCCAGATAAAATAATATCCTTTTTTCAGATGTATAACCATCATTGTTTTTTTATCATTTACTGTTTCAACTGCTTGTCATAACGAGGCTTTGAATCTTGGCTATCGGTTTCATCTTCATTGGCCTTGTATTGCTTTACGGTCGTGACTTGCTCTAATAAAAAGTAAATTTAATCTGCAGAAACTATTTTAAGGCTTTGTTCTAATCTGATAAATGTGAATGTATTAAAATGTTGATTTATATTTAAACAGGTGAACATTTGGTTGGACCATTTGACGAGTGTTTCTGCCAACAGAAAACGGGGCAAGGCAAAGGCGTCCGTGACACGGTCTTTGAAAAAGGTATTCAGGCACAATGACATTATGAGTTGAATTTCATAAATGATTGCCTCAACATTAAATGAGTCTGAGGCCAAAAAAACTCTTTTTTCTGAAAGCCATACAAAACATAAGGGGTATTGCACTTCTGTGGTCTATATATGTGTATTTTATCATTGACATGGTGGGGAATCATTGATATGGTGACCTGTGAAGTAACATGGTATCTTAAAGTCCCATTATGCATTTTAAACTTTATTTGAAATAAAAGAGTATTCAGTTCCACACCAATGACATGAAGTAGAATTCTGATGTAAAAATTTGCATTTGATTTCTTAAAGACATGAAAGAAAATCTTCGAAATACGCTATAAATATATTGCGCTCATGTAGCGCAAATGTAATAATTGGAGGTATGTTTGGATGAAAAAATAATTTCTGAAGAATAGTAATGCGGAAATGAGCCATTTTCTTCAATAAGAGGATAAGTATGATATGTTTATTCAGTAATTGAAATTTTACTCACAAAAGCATTATGTTTCTTTAAACTTAAAATTGGTGGATTCTCCTGAAAAAGCACAATATTGTTTATAATGTCACTGGGGGCTACTGCAAGTCCTGTCAGTTACGCATACTCCAAAATATTTTCTGTTAAACAAAGATATTGAAAAAATTCTCACATGGACACCAGAATCTTAAAGATTATCAATTGCTGCAATACCATGTCATGTGGTCTCCATATCACATGATTCCCCACCATAATTGCAAGATTAGTTTGATAGACTTAGTACCAGCAGAATTGTTAGAAAATAATGTGTTTTCAAAAAAACGAAAAACAAAATTCAGTACCATTTTTGTTCCAATAGAATTAAAAACAACCTACTGTTTTATCTATCAAAGATATATATTTGAAATCTTTGTTAAGTTGTGCTACTAAATTATTAATTTTTAAACAATCCAGGTTCAAGCTTCTATCCAGGCCCAAGCTCCTATCAAGGTTCAAGCTCCTATATATCCCGACTCAAGCTCCCATCCAGGCTCCTGCTCCTATCCAGGCTCTTGAGGAAAGTGCACCAGATTGTGAGTACACCATGCAACTTAGCTTAAGAAAATTATGTCAGTTTTTTTGTAGCTTTGTGTTCATTGTGAGCTATAATTGTCGTTTCTCCATGAAACTTGGTCAAAATGTTTGACTGAAATCTCGGCAAAGTTCAAGGTTGGGTCATGTGGGGTCACTAGGTCAAATCTTAGAAAAAGAATGCAAACACTTTAGAGGCCACATTTTTGGCCCATTTGTCATTAACCTTAGTGTAATTTTTCAACTCTATGAAATCTAGAACATGTTCAAAATTAGGTCATGAGGGGTCAAAAATTAAGTCATTAGGTCAAATCTTAGAACATTTTTGGTCCAATTTAAATGAAACTTAATAAATTTGAAACCTTAAAGATTATAAAAATGCCCTCTATTTCAGACAAACAATGTGGAAGTGTCCAGGTTTGGCCGCAGGAGGAGGAAGAATGTCCTTTTTAATGACTTTTTGTGTTAAATGTTAAAATAAAATAAGAAGTTAAAGTGTTGTAAGTTTTTAGCTCATCTGAGCCGTGAGCACGAAGCTATTGTAATCGGTGAATGTCTGTCTTCGCAAATCTGGTGTCCTCAACTTTTAGTGTTTTAACACTCTAAGAGGCCACAGATATGGTTCAATTATAATTAAGCTTGGTCAGCATGCTTACCATCCCTTCAGAAACTGGGTCATGTGGAGTCAGAAACTATGTTAGTAGGTTTATTTTGTAGCTAAACTATAAATGTAAAATATTAAAGAGCTTATACGATCGATTGTGTGTCCGTGTCCGCAATGTTTTTGTTAAGTCATACATTCTATTCTATGAAAGATATTCAATTGAAACTAGGTACGGTATTTAGTGGGACTACCACTACCATACAAAGAAGGCCTTTAACCTGGATGCATTATTTTCAGAATTATGCCCCTTTATTACTTGAAAATACCCATTTTATCTTCTAAGTCTAATTATTTGAATACTATCAAAGTTATTAAACTACAATTGATACATATACACTCATTGGGAGTGACTATACATACCTTTCTTCAGAGGCCCATTAATCTGGACTCATTATTTTCCTAATCATAAGCCTTTGTACTTATATTTTTCATTGTTTTTCTGATAACAGTTTTATTTATTGATTGATCTCTTAGATATTTACCCTCTCCCCTACCCCCGGGGCATTTGATGCACCAAGCAGTGATGCACCAAGCAGGCTCAAGGGTGGGGATTTAGACAAAATTGGTTGTCTCTAGGGTGGGGATTTAGACTTCAAACATTTTAAGATGTCAAATTCCCCTGGGTCAGCCCGCCGCCCCCCCCCCCACCCCCGGACGGGCAAAATATTGATAGGTGCATAAGAGATAAAGCAATGTACAACATATCTCACACCGCTAGCATCATCGACTTAAGTGGTACTAAAAGCATTAGAATCAATGATCCCGAATGAGCACAAAATATTTTTTTAAAAATGCGATAAAGGACGGGGTAACTTTTCAGGGCTGACAAACAGCAGTTGACACCTGTTGTTATGAATTTAAAAAATTCGGAAAGGTGAGATTTTCAAGAGCAATAAAACAAAGCAAATAGTTCATGTACAACATCAACCACACACTCCAGCACTAGCTTAAGCTGTATTCAATACATCAAAAGTATTTGAATGACTGATCCAATATAACATATGCATTTGTTTGTTTTTTTAAGAAGCTAAGTTTCATTTTACCAAGAAAAAACAACATTTGAAGAAGGCTATAAAACATTAGATACAACAAATATCTATTTTAAATACACTTGTTTCAAGTAGCAGATTAAACACATATTCCTTCATTTGTCTGTAATTGCAATTGTTTTGGTGGTCATGTTCTCTAGGGATCATTTATAGAAGTCATAACTGTACATGTGTGGCTGGCATCTATAAAAGTGTTAAAAAAACTCATTGTCATAATATTTATTCTGATTTTCGTGATCATTGATTTCACTGCGAATTAAAAAGATCTTTTATTTATTTTACCGAGTCTTGTATTTTCACTCTTTCATTTTTTACTTTCATTGTTGTCACGTGGTCTGAATGTAATCCCGTTCGAACACGATCTTAACATGTTGAATCTTTTTTGTTGCAATCAATGTTTTATTTAACTTTACTTCAAAAATATCTAAAATATAGTAAATTAATATACACATAGCTCGATAATGTGATTACAAGCAAATGTTCTTCAGATTTTGAACACAATAAAATTTCTTTCACCTGTTTGTTAAAATGGTTTCTCGACCTATGCACATAATTAATTTAAATTATATGATTGCATATATGTGTTTATTGTATGATGAATTACTTTTGCACAAATATCAAATACTATTCCTGCTTTGTTTTACTTAGTATGTATTATTGTGCAATCAATATACTTTTCAAGTGTAAACATAACCATGTGACATGATATATTGTATTATATATATATATTTGCAAGACGATGTATTATGTACAAGTCTCAAATAAAATGTCTGTTCTGTTCTGATAATGAAGCATACATCATTAACAGTGCATGTCTTGCAAACTAGTGATGTTCTGTTATTGTTAAATGTACAAACAAAAATACAATTGACACTTTATACGTTCGATTTAGAACTATCTTCCCTCCCATGGTGGTTGTCTGGCTGATATTCAAACAAATTATCATCATCTTATCTTGATAGCAACCAGACTTGTGCCACAACTCCAACTGCTGTTTTTTTTCTGTCTGATTATCACCTAGTTTATTGCACTATCTAAAATGTTCGTATTATTTGCTATAATATTTCATAAAATCAGGATGGGGCTAAGGGGATATTATTGTTCAGTTTGGCGAAAAACATAAGGCATAACCATAGTATTTGTAAGCAATGAAACTTTTCATGTGTGTATGATTTAAACTCCATTCTTTCTGTGCGGCTGATATACCATTTTGAAAATGTTTGATTAGCAATGAAATACACCTCAAAATGTTATATTTGATTATTGTTAGAAATAACATCCCAGTTTTGAAAAAATAAATTCACATTAACCCTGGAATTTGTATTTCTCTGATGTAATTTGTTTTATTCCATCATACCATATATCGTGATTTTCTCAAAAAGAAAATAACTCTTGGTATCTGCATGTTACTGACTGGCTTTATTTCTTTACTTATTGAGAATATTTGAGTTAATTCTTAAAACAGAAAAATTAGAACGAAATTTTTATGAGATCTTTTTTTGTAGTAGATAGTTCTTTGAAGCTCCATTATCATGTCTTGCATCCATGCCTGTTTTGTTAAATTGATGGAGCTGGGTTTTTTTTAAATCATGTACGCAATTTGATTGAAATACTCTTTCCTTACAGAATGACGGCATATCATAACTGTGTATCTTCTACCAAACAATAATCAATTTAAGTAAAACTGAAGCGTAGCTATGGTTCAAAACGGTGTTAATATAATATTTCATTAATTACGAATCAATTAAAACTATGTCGAGTTAATACTGATAATAATTTAGAAATATTTATAATATGAATATTGCAATGTAGTTTCCTATGTAATGTATAAAAGGGACCTCTTGAAAAATAAAGAAATAATTTCTTTCTCTACTATAGTTTATCTCAAAATTTCCGGCTAATCAGCAAATCCTACAAAATCAGCGTTGTTTTTTTATTTGCGCTCATCTAAATTATCTATGATTCACAAAATATCAAAGTAACATAATTTCATTTCTTGCCAGGTTATCTTATAATTAGAATAACCTAGTTCTGTTAAGAATTGCATATCTCTTGGCATGCAGAATACATGCTAAGTATTAAAAAGACAAACTTTTCTAATATCTCGCTTTTAATGTTGCAACTTTGCTACGTCATCCTTTTACAATGTCCCGTCATTCTGTTATGTGTCAATTTGATCGTTTGTGGGTTGAACATTTTATTGGTCATTTTTTAAAAGAAATATGATCCTGTAAACGATTCTGGTTTATTAAAACAGATATCAAACTCAAGTAATCATCTCTCGGAGACACCTTTCAATTATTCCTCAGATAACATAGTCGGTTGATATCGTATGATATTATCAGTATAGTCTAAAGTTCATTTTTTTCTTATTTCTTTATCTTAATGTTTCATTTATTTCATTTCAATTACTACATTTATTGCTTAAGCAATCTGAATCACTGTACAAGTCTTATAATCTAGACATTACACGCTATATGTTTAAAATCCTGATTTATTTTGTGTTTTAAATATTGCTCTAATAGACCAATAAATCAACAATAGTAATCAAATTCGTTCCAAACTAACTAGTAATTACCATTTTTTCCCGCAATTTACCGACTTCTTACCACACATGATGTTTAAATCAACGGTGACAAACAGATGGCCATTAAAACTCAATGTTCGAGATCAGTTTTCCCAACGTTTTTTCGCCTTTCCCGAGGATTGAATCAGCGACCTCTAAATTACAAATTCGAGAATCTCCCTAAGCGGGCTTACATTTGTAAATTTGTTCAGAAAATCTTTTGGTTGTATATAACTAAAAATTGTCAGTAATTCAAATTATTATATGTCATATAACTGAATGCAGAACATAAAGAGTATTATGTTTAATGAAACACACGTGTCAAATTATACGTATAACTATTTATAATTAGAAATTGTTTTATTATCCTCGTTTATTTTACTTGCAATTAGTCATTATCCAGAGGCGCTATTCTGGCAGCACGAACGTGTTAACACCCATACGTATGTACGTATAGACCTATTTATCTGTATCTCACCAATACAGCATAAATGTAAATTTTAATGAATCCGAAAATACTGTGCATCTTTACAGATGACAATGTATCATGAGAAATCAGGGATATCAATCTTTATGAAATTCCATTTTAATACTAAATTTAAATATCCTTTAATTGTTAGTCGATTGAGGAATCAAAAACTTATCACATTATTGCAAGTTAATATTACAATACGGTATCACACATCTGAAATATTACGTACATATATATTAACAGTCCGACGG